AGGAACTTCTCTAAGTGGGAAACAGAAGAGAAGAAAAGGACCTACAAAAACAAACCCAAAACGATTAAGAAAATGGTAATAGGAACTTACATAATAATAATTACCTTAAATGTGAATGGATTAAATGCTCCAACCAAAAGACACGGCCTTGCTGAATGAATACAAAAACAAGACCCATATATATGCTGTCTACAAGAGACCAACTTCAGACCTAGGGACACGTACTGACTGAAAGTGAGGGGATGGAAAAAGATATTCCATGCAAATGGAAATCAAGGGAAAGCTGGAGTATCAATACTCATATCAGAATAGACTTTAACATAAAGAATGTTACAAGAGACAAAGAAGAACACTACATAACGATCAAGGGATCAATCCAAGAAGAAGATAAAACACTTATAAATATATATGCACCCAACATAGGAGCACCTCAATACGTAAGGTAAATGCTAACAGCAATAAAAGAGGAAACTGACAGTAACACAGTAATAGTAGGGGACTTTAACACCTCACTTACGACAATGGACAGATCATCCAGACAGAAAATTCATAAGGAAACACAAGCTTTAAATGATTCAATGCAGCAGATAGATTTAATTGATATTTATAGGACATTCCATCCAAAAACAGTGGATTACATTTTCTTCTCAAGTGCACACGGAATATTCCCTGGGATAGATCATATCTTGGGTCACAAATCAAACCTTGGTAAATTTAAGAAAATTGAAATCATATCAAGCATCTTTTCCGACCACAGTGCTATGAGACTAGAAATAAATTACAGGGAAAAAAATATAAAAAGACACAAACACATTGAGGCTAAACAGTACGTTACTAAATAACCAAGAGATGACTGAAGAAGTCAAAGAGGAAATCAGAAAATACCTAGAGACAAATGACAATGAAAATACGACAATCCAAAACCTATGGGATAAAGCAAAAGCAGTTCTAGGAGGAAAGTTTATAGCAATACAATCCTACCTCAAGAAACAAGAAAAATCTCGAAGAAACAATCTAATCTTACACCTCAAGGAAGTAGAGGAAGAAGAACAAACAAAACCCAAAGTTAGCAGAAGGAAAGAAATCATAAAGATCAGGGCAGAAATAAATGAAATAGAAACAAAGAAAAAATTAACAAAGATCAATAAAACTAAAAGCTGGTTCCTTGAGAAGGTAAACAAAATTGATAAACCTTTAGCCAGACTCATCAAGAAAAAGAGGGAGAGGACTCAAATCAGTAAAATTAGAAATGAAAAAGGAGAAGTTACAACTGACACTGAAGAAATACAAAGCATTATAAGAGACTACTACAAGCAACTCTATGCCAATAAAATGGACCACCTGGAAGAAATGGACAAATTCTTAGAAAGGTATAACCTTCTAAGACTGAACCAGGAAGAAACAGAAAATATAAAGAGACCAATCACAAGTAATGAATTTGAAACTGTGGTTAAAAACCTTTCAAGAAACAAAAGTCCAGGACCAGATGGCTTCACAGGTGAATTCTATCAAACATTTAGAGAAGAGCTAACACCTATCCTTCTCAAACTCTTTCAAAAAATTGCAGAGGAAGGAACACTCCCAAACTCATTCTATGAGGCCAGCAACACCCTGATACCAAAACCAGACAAAGGTACTACAAACAATGAAAATTACAGACCAATATCACTGTTGAATATAGATCTAAAAATCCTTAACAAAATACTAGGAAACAGAATCCAACAACACATTAAAAGGATCATACACCATGACCAAGTGGGATTTATCCCAGGGATCCAAGGATTCTTCACTATATGCAAATCAATCAATGTGATACACCATATTAACAAATTGAAGAATAAAAACCATATGATCATCTCAATAGATGCAGAAAAAGCTTTTGGCAAAATTCAACACCCATTTATGATAAAACTCTCCAGAAATGGGGCATAGAGGGAACCTACCTCAACATAATAAAGGGCGTATACAACAGACCCACAGCAAACATCATTCTCAATGGTGAATAACTGAAAGCATTTCTTCTAAGATGAGGAACAAAACAAGGATGTCCACTCTTGCCACTTTTATTCAACATAGTTTTGGAAGTCCTAGCCATGGCAGTCAAAGAAGAAAAAGAAATAAAACGTATACAGATTGGAAAAGAAGAAGTAAAACTGTCACTGTTTGCAGATGATAATGATACTACACATAGATAATCCTAAAGATGCCACCAGAAAACTACTAGAGCTAATCAATGAATTTGGTAAAGTTGCAGGATACAATAATTAATGCACAGAAATATCTTGCATTCCTATACACTAAAAACAAAGATCAGAAAGAGAAAGTAAGGAAACAATCCCATTCACCATTGCAACAAAAGAATAAAATACCTAGGAATAAACATACCTAAGGAGGTAAGAGACCTGTACTCAGAAATTATAAGACACTGATGAAAGAAATTAAAGATGACACAAACAGATGGAGAGATATATCATGTTCTTGTATTGGAAGAATCAATATTGTGAAAATGACTATACTACCCAAAGCAATGTACAGATTCAATGCAACCCTATCAAATTACCAATGGCATTTTTATAGAACTAGAACAAAACTTAAAATTTGTATGGAGACACATAAGACCCCAAATAGCCAAAGCAAACTTGAGGGAAAAAAACAGAGCTGGAAGAATCAGACTCCCTGACCTCAGACTATACTACAAAGCTACAGTAATCAAGACAATATGGTGCTGGCACAAAAACAGAAATATAGATCAATGGAACAGGATAGAAAGCCCAGAGATAAACCCACACACCTATGGTCAACTAATCTATGGCAAAAGAGGCAAGAATATACAATGGAGTTAAGACAGCCTCTCCAATAAGTGGTCTTGGGAAAACTGGACAGCTACATGTAAAAAATGAAATTAGAACACACCGTAACACCATACTCAAAAATAACTCAAAATGAATTAAAGAACTAAATGTAAGACCGGACACTATAAAACTCTTAGAGGATAACATAGGAAGAACACTCTTTGACATAAATCATAGCAAGATCTTTTTTGACCCACCTCCTAGAGTAATGGAAATAAAAACAAAAATAAACAAATGGGACCTAATGAAACTTCAAAGCTTTTGCACTGCAAAGGAAACTATAAACAAGACAAAAAGACAACCCTCAGAATGGGAGAAAATATTTGCAAACGAATCAATGGACAAAGGATTAATCTCCAAAATATATAAACATCTCATGCAGCTCAATATTTAAAAAAAAAATAACCCAGTTGAAAAATGGGTAGAAGACCAAAATAGATTTCTCCAAAGTGACATGCAGATGGCCAAGAGGCACATGAAAAGCTGCTCAGCATCACTAATTATTAGAGAAATGCAACTCAATACTACAATGAGGTACCACCTCACACCCATTAGAATGGACATCATCAGAAAATCTACAAGCAACAAATGCTGGAGAGGGTGTGGAGAAAAGGGAACTATCTTGCTCTGTTGGTGAGAATGTAAGTTGATACAGCCACTATGGAGAAGAGTATGGAGTTTCCTTAAAAAACTAGCAGTAGAATTACCGTATGACCCAGCAATCCCACTACTGCGCATATACCCAGAGAAAACCATAATTCAAAAAGATACATGCACTCTAGTGTTCATTGCAGCATTATTTACAATAGCCAGGTCATGGAAGCAACCTAAATGCCCATCGACAGGCGAATGGATAAAGAAGATGTGGTACATATATACCATGGAATATTACTCAGCCATAAAAAGGAATGAAAATGGATCATTTGTAGAGACGTGGATGGACCTAGCGAGTGTCATATAGAGTGAAGTGTGTCAGAAAGAGAAAAACAAATATCGTATATTAATGCATATATGTGAAATCTAGAAAAGTGGTACAGATGAACCGGTTTGCAAGGCAGAAATAGAGACACAGATGTAGAGAACAAATGTATGGACACCATGGGGGGAAAGTGGGGGATGGGGGTGGTGCTGGGATGAATTGGGAGATTGGGATTGACATATATGCACAAATATGTATAAAACAGGTAACTAATAAGAAGCTGCTGTATAAAAAAATTAAAATTAAAAAAAAAAGATGTTAATTTGATGTGCCTTGTTCTTACTGGACCCATTCTGACTGCCTCTGGATCAGTCACTTACTCTTATTGGTATGAGATCGCTAGTGTGGTCTGTACCTTTTTCCATTTTTATTAGAATTGAGAGATTTGTTCAATTATATGTATGTCATTTCTGCTCTGAAGGTCACCCTCCTTGACAGAAAAGGTAGAGAGAAAACAAATGGGGACTCTCCACTTTATTGTGCTGTGTATTAACTTAATATTATCAGCTCCGATCAGTGCACTTTTTCATTCCTTGGTCTTTCTAGTTCCAAAGGAGGATTCAAAACCTATTTTATTCTGTTTCATCTTCCTAAAAATAATAAACAAGATTTTTGCAAATTTTACTTCATTAATTTGCTTGCTTTTATTTTCTGACACTACTCTTTGAACTTTCTGTTAAAGAATTTAAAAAGTATACACTTTTCTTGTTAGACTAACTCTTCTGAAGACCTTTCTGCCTTATCATAAGGAAAAAGAAGTTCAGGCCCTAGAGGTTTGAATTGTAAAATTCACTTTGTCCAGGGATGTTGGGATGTTTTGGCAGACTCCTTGAAGTATTGCTGGCAGTGCTTTCCTGCCTTATAACCACTGTGGTCCTAGGCTATATTTTCTGGGTTTTGAAAGTAGACCCTAGTTGTACTAGGTAGAATAGGCCAGTTTGAACTATTTTCATATCATATGCTTATTTGTTGATTCAATTCATGAAATACACCCCAGTTTAATTATAAAGAAATGTTTATGTGAGGGATCAGTGTTGAAGTTTCCAATACTGGTATCTATGCATGGGAAAATGTGGAAATACTAGAACGATACTGGGTATCATTGCAACATTTGTTAACAAGCAACAGGAAAGCATTAACTCATTAATAGAAGTTTGCTTTCTCTACAGGAACAAAACTTGAACACTTTGCAAAAATTGGATGGAAAAATCATAAACATTCAGTTAATAACCCGTAAGTATTTCAGAGATATGAAATAGTGAGAATCTGGGTTATCCTGCTATGTAATATGCAACTTTGTACTTGAAAAGCAAATGTAAGACCTCAAAGATGTTAACTAGAATGTTTTTCTTATGAAAGGCTTGTGCCCAAGTAAACTTTTGCCTACTTTTCAGTTTAGGTTTTGGTCTATTTATATTTAAAATGCCATTTAAGCTTAGTTGCTCTTTTAAGAAAGAATGTGAATGGCTAGCGTTAAAAGATGTAATTGGTCATAGGTTCTAACTCTAGTAAATGAAATTTATTATAATAATTTTAATTGGAAATAACCAGGCCCCATTTTAAACCATTTTTTAAAACTTTTCTTTGTTTGTTTTGATCAATTAAAGTGGTTGTTTTAATTACTTTATATTAAATTATTTGCATTTTAATTATGTTAGTGTCGTTAACTCTTACTCTGACAGAATAATATGGTTATTTATATCCTAAAAAATAGTCTGAAGTAAAATTACATCATATGTATTACTGATAATTAATCTTTGAATCCCTAGTACCTAGTGCAATGCATGGCTCATAGCATGTACTTAATGGTTGCTGAATAAAATTGGTTCACTGGGAAATGAATTAGTGCCACACAAGTAGGATCTCTACAAAAGCAAACCACTAGGCAATAAAAGAATAGTAGCTAACTTTATTAAATGCCAACTCTGTGTCACTGTGCTAGGTACTTTTATGTACATTTTCATTTAATTCTCTCAAGGACCCTGTAAGGTAGTTATTTTTATTCTTATTTTATAGATGATGAAAATGAGGCCTACAGAAGTTAGGTAGCTTGCTCAGGATCATTCTAAATAGTGGTAAAATAGTGTTTATATTTTTCCTTCTACTAGATTATAAACTCCTTGAAGGCAAGAGCCATCTCTTATCTTTATGTTCTTAATGCTTAGCACAGAGTCTGGAACATAATCAGTGCTCAGTAAATTGTTTCTGAACTATTAAACAAATTTTGCCATGTTTAATAAACATAAAAACATGATAAGGGACATTTTATACCACAAGTGGGTCATTACCACATATTTCTAATACTTCATGCTACTACTTGTTCTCCTCATTCTTCTGCTTTTGAATTGGTGTTTGAATTCAGGGTATACCTAATTAACAAATAATATCTACTCCCATGCCCTAAATTTAATGGTATTTTGTGAAAAATCTAAGGGTATTGTGGAAGCTTTGGTTAATTCCCTTGCTTATATAATAAAATAGAAATTCCTTCATATGAGATAACAAACCTGTTATAATTTGACCTCGTTCTACTTTGCTGGTCTTATTTCCTACCACTTCCCTGGTTATTCTCAATCTCATCTCTCACAAGATTACTTGGTATTTCTCAAGTGTAGTATACTGTGCTTGTTTCTGTGTTTTTAGTTATGCTGTTAACTCTCCCTGGAATATCCTTCTGCCTTTCTTTTGTTTGGCAAGTATCTACTTACTCATCAAGTCTCAACCCAAATATCATTGCTTCTCTTAGTACCTTCTTAAATAGGCATAATTATTTTTTCTCATGAGCTTCATTGTACTGTCTGTATATGTCTGTTACAACATATCACAGTGTATCATACTTATTTATAAATCTTTCTCCTCTGATGATGATGATCCTTGAGCAGAGATTATGTCTCATCTTTATATCTTCAGTACCTAGTAGGGTATTGGAACATAGTATATGCTCAATAAAACTTTGCTGTTACTGAATAGTAGTTAGGATAAGCAGTCTTAAGCCCATAAATATGGTCTAGAGCTGATTTATTTGTCCTTAGAACTTGGAGAACCATTAAAAATCCTTGTGATTTCCTGAAACTAGTAAGGAACTGTACCAACATATTGAGGAGTTGACAGTATGCAGTTTCCTGGCTTTGAGGCTCCAAAGAGCAGCTCTTGACCTTCCCCAGAGAAGCAAAACTTCCAAGTCTTTCTTTTACTTAACTCCCTGCCCAACCAGGTACTCATTTATCCACTCATTACAGCATTCTTCTAAAGGATTTTCATTCACTCAGCTATTACGTATTCAGTAGCCTACTGTGTGCAAGACGCTGGTAAAGCTACTAGTGATATAGCAGTGAACAAGATGGGTAAGTTCCTTGTCCTCATGGATCTTCTGCTATGTATTATAAGTTCTCAATTATGTTGAATAGGCAAATGTTACTTCTGAATGTCAGCTTCATAATTTAAAACTCATTGAAACAGCCAAGAATAGCCTTTTAGGTTTGGCTCAGAAATTTTAGATGCTAACTTCTTACACTAGGTTTTGCTTGACTAGTGAAGAAAGATAATTCTGTTTGCTGACCAGTCATTAGAGATAACCTGTTACATATTTCTAAGAAGGTTGAGTTAAGAACCTTCTCAAGTTCTTCCTCACAGATTATAAGAATACCTAAAGGCAGTGAGAATCTGTGATCAGTAGTATAAGATTAGGGATAGCTTCTGCCACTTGAGCCTTCAGACCTGTGTCTATAACTCTCCCTCCTTACTATCTCTTGAATTCATTACTTCTTTCCATCTTTTTTTTTTTTTAATTTTATTTTTTGGCTGTGCTGCACAGCATGTGGGATCTCAGTTCCCTGACCAGGGATCAAACCTGTGCCCTCTGCATTGGAAGCATGGAGTCTTAACCACTGGACCTCTAGGGAAGTCCCGCTTCTCTCCATCTTTTACTTCCAATTCCCTATTTTAGGCCCTTATCATTTCTGGCCTTAATTATTGCCCCAATCTCTTAGTTGGTTTACTTGCTTTTGGTAATGCCTTTTTAGTGTCCCTTTTCCATACCACAGCTTTCTTGCTGAAATACAAATCTGGTCATGTCACTCCCAGCTTAATATCCTTTAGTAGTTCCTCATTGTTTTCAGTATAATGTAAACACCATATACTGGCCTTTCATGATCTGATCCTTGTTCATGTCTCCTGCCCCCTCTTCTTCATCTTGCCTCCATATTCCTTCCCAGATGTCACGCTCTAGCTTCAATAAACTATTTCACCTCAAGAGGCTTTGCATGTGCTGACCCTTTTGCCAGGAATTCTCTGTCTCCTATTTCCTCTTATTTGCCTAACCTCAGAGAGGAAGTCCCCTTTGGTATCTGGGTTTGATGTGTATCCTGTTGGTCCCATGGCACCCTGTATAACATTTCTATCATGGCATTTATCATACTAGGATGGTGTATTTATTGCCGTGGATTCAGACTGAGTTCCTTGAGGGTAGGGACTATGTCCATGTCCCCACTGTCTAGTACAGGATCTGGCTTAAATAAAGCATTTTTTTGAAAGTTGGTGATGGTCAAAGTTAGCTTCAGAAGCAAAGGTGCAGACGGTAGTATGCAGATCTAAGTTACATGGGCTTTATTTCTAAACACTGGAATTGCTTAATTCCCATACCAGTTGAAGCTTGCTTTTAGAAACTCCCTTATTGTATCTATTTGTGCTGCTATCTTTCCAGAGCAATTTCTGAAACCATCTGATTATATTGTTAGAGGCACCAAAGGGGATGAGAATAAGTTTCTTCTTGGCAGTGATGAGAAAGGAAATGTGTTTTGAAGAATGCAGATATTTTATTATAGGTTTTATACATTTATTTAAGAATGCCATTAGCTTTCATTAAATGTAGTTGTATAATATTATCACCACAAAAGTTGGCTGAATTGCAAGTCATTTAATTTTGCTTTTAAGGAACTAATATTTTTGTAATTCTCCAGGAAAAAAAAAAGGTATTTTATTTTAAGCTCCAACTGGTTTGACACCAACTGGGTGTACTGCAATTTAATTCTGGTACCTGCCACTCAGAGTTAATGCAGACTCTATGAATTAAGACTTCACAAGACTGCTCTCACTTTAGATGCCAGATGAAATAGGATCCCCAGGCCACCTGCACTTCTGACCAACTGACTATAAATTCAGTGGTTCCCATGATCCTCTCATGTTTGATAATTCACTAGAATGACTTACAGAACTCAGGAAAGTACTGTACTTACTGAGGAACAGCCAAATGAAGAGGCACATAGGATAATGACTGGGAAGGTTCCTAGTGCAGAGCTTCCATGCCCTCTTCCCATGGAGTCAGGGCACAACACGCTCCTGTGAAGGTACTTGGCAACCAGGTGGCTTCACCAAGCTTCAATTTCTAAAGATTTTATTGGGGCTTCATTATGCAGGCATATTCAATTAAATCATTGGCCACTCGATCTCTAGGCCCCCGTCTTCTCCCTAGGGGTCAAACTGGTTCAAAACTCCCAATCTTGTATTCGCATGGTTGATCTTTCTGGTGACCAGACCCCTGGGTCATCCCTCCCTTATCCCCCAGCTAACGAGGGGACCACCACAAGTTACCTAATTAGCATAACAAAGACACTTTTATTACTCAGGAAATTCCAAGGGTTTTAGAATCTCCATGCCAGGAACCCAGGACAAAAATTAGACAAAAGTTTTTTTATACAACATGATATTTTGGAGTTAGGAATTTTAAAAATTCAATTCAAATGACTTATTTATTGTAGATTGAAATGGTTTATGAAAGCCTATCTTTCATTTGTGAAAAGAGTATTTATGTATTATTCTTCTCTCTTTAACTTCTGGACCAGAACATCTTTAACAAAAATTGTGATTGCTACCTCACATTCTGTAACTACTTATTTTATATTTAGGTATTCCCAGTTCCAAAAGGAGTACAGTTTAGATGAAGTGATGGCATCTCAAAAAATTTTTGATTTTTTGACTATCTTACAATGTTGGTAAGAAAAACACATTTTAATATTTAATAGAAGTACTGTGCCTTCTCCCCACCCCCACCCCCTCTATCCCTTGGGTAGACTGTAGGCTCTGTATCTGGGCATATCTATATCTGTATCTGCTTTTATAGAACTCCTACCAAGTATAGTCCTTACCCTGGAGTGAGCACCCTTGCTTCCTATTCCTGTCTAGACACAGATTGTCTTTTCTCTTGGAAAATTATATATTTTACTTCCTTTTCTCATGACTTCCAGCTACTCTGTTTTAATAGTATTTATTAAATACTTGGCTTGGGAGGCCAGTGGAGTCCAAAGGTTTTTCCCTTGACCATTTTGTTTTCTCTGCTGTATATTTCTACTGTAGGAAATTTTAATCATACTAACTACGAGTAAAGGTAAAACAAGAAAAAAAATCAAAGCTTTAATAATGATAGTAACTCTGTCTTGAAAATGCTTGACAATATCTGTCTCCTGGAAGACTGAGTTAGTATTGCATAGCTCCTACCTGTGCCTAACTCTCACCTGGATGTGTCCTGGAGTTACTGTCTGGGATGCAAGTGAACAAGTGACGTCCATTTTTATCTGTTGCAGTATGAGTGTCTGCCCATTTTTAAAGTACAGCTCAACTCACAGAAGGCTTCTTGTGTCTGCTGCCTTCCTTCACAGCTGCTCTAAGGAAAAGGTCTATTTTGAGGAGATCTCAAGGGTCTTAACCAAACCATGGGTTTTCTGATACCTCCTATTCCATCCTTTCGCAGTTTCCAAAAGGATTCCAAGACTGATTATTTGGGAGATAGCAAAGTTGGAGCTAGTTAGGCCTATAGTAGAATCTTTTTTAGCTCAGGAATAACCTTGTGGACTCCTCAGAAGTCACCAGAAAATACCTTATGTATCTGCAGAGGCAAATCTGGGATTCTTTGCAATAAGAACTTTTTGGGAGAGACCCTTAGAGACCAAGCAGTGACTGATAGCATTTAAATTCTTGTTAGAAGTTCAGTCTTCAGATGTGAAGCATGTATAATTTTTAACTGCAGATATTACAAAGACAGTCCAATGACCAGCAAGCATACACCCAGCCTTTCCACACTGAAAGAACTCCTAGACTGAATCCTAAGATCGAGGTGAACCAGGTATAAATAACTATTTTCACCTCCTCTTAGTCCCACTTCAGATGGTGCTGCAGCAGCAATTTTGGCTAGTGAAGCATTTGTACAGAAGCACGGCCTGAAATCCAAAGCTGTGGAAATTTTGGCTCAAGAGATGGTGACTGATATGCCAAGCTCGTTTGAAGAACAAAGCATTATTAAAATGGTGTGTCTGAGATTCTGTTTTATTAATCAGTCAAGGGATTTCTTTTTCAAAATTTCAAGGTGACATCATGTCATCAGCTCTGAACGTTATTTACTTGAAAAAAATTGGTCTAGAAAATTTAATATTATAACCCATCCTAAGAATCTGTTAAGGGAAAATAACTGATAAGAACATATGCATGCACTTTTAACTAACTAGTGTGCTATTTTTAAAAATTTTGAGTTGCCTAAATATGCCCAGAACTCCAGTCTTACAGAGTTAAGGGAAAAACAAAGATATTTTCAGGAACTTTTTTGCACTTTAAAAATCACTGATTGAAGATTGAGTACAAAATGGAGGAAGTAAAAAAATAAGAATTCTGACCTGAGTTAGTTGAATATTTGAAGATACGTACATATATACACATATAAAAATGTGCATTATGTACACACACATATATAAATAAGCATATGGTTTACGTTAGAGTTTACAAAATGATTTTACAACAATGCTTTGAATTTTAAAATGTTTCTGTAACTTGCCCAAGATCACACAAGCTAGGGTGTGGCAGAGGTGAAACCTATACTCAGGTTTTCTGATTGTAGTACATTGTCCATCACATCACAGTTTTATTCCTTGGAAAAGAGGTGAGTTTGCATGTTATTATCTGAGACCAAAGGGGTGTTGATAGCATGAATATTGGAAAAATGGTTTGAATCCTAATGATCTTCTAAAAGAAGATTGTTTATTTTCATATAGAAATTCACCCATATTTTTCAGTGTACCTGAATCATAATGATCTCTTGATAAATCTCTTCAACCTATCCACCACAACTATATATTGTGGTTTGATAGAGTTTTTGTAACTTTGCACAGGATATGGCATGAGGAATTGTAAGTCCTTTTTATAGTACAAAATGTAATGTGTATGTTCATTCTCCCTCCTGGATATTCTTTTATTTGGACTTTCTGTGTAATACAGAATTAACTGAGATTTCAGTATTTATGGTCAATTCTCAACTGTTAAGGTTATACATATAAGCCTTATATAAAAGTCCCAGTTTTGATGCCCTTAATTTATTTATATATGGTTTCGGTTTTAGGTTGGCTTTGATATGAGTAAAGAAGCTGCCAGAAAGTGCTATGAGAAATCTGGCCTGAGACCAAGTGATATTGATGTAATAGAACTTCATGATTGCTTTTCCACCAATGAACTTCTTACTTATGAGGCACTGGGACTCTGTCCAGAAGGTAATATCTTTGACGAGATGCAGATTAACTTACAGCCTGTCACTGAGAACATTTCACTTTTGTCATAAAACAAAACAATTCACTAATTGCCTTTCCCTCCATGTTGGCTCTGCCACACTGTGCAAAGTGAATGTAAGCTATCTTGATCTTGGACTTTTAGAACATGTAGTCTTGGACAGTACCAAATGAGATGACAGAGTATACAAATAATTTGTTTTATGTAAATCAGGGGTACTTGTAACGCACTGTTAAGTAAAAAAAAAAAGGATAAAAAAAATCACATATGTAATTCCAGCTATTTCAAACTGTTTGAATAAAGACCTGCAGAAAGGAAAATGGAAAAACTAGTTGGTGGGATCTGGAGGATTTTTTTTTTCTTTTTGTTTTTAAAGTGGTTGTACCATTTTCCACTGCTACTAGCGGTGTGTGAGATTTCAGTTGTTTCACGTTCTCATCAACACTTGATGTGGTCAGTTTTTAAAATTTCAGCCATTCAAAAGAGTATATAGTGGTGTTTTATTTTAGTTTAATTATGCATATCCCTCATGACTAGTGATGTTGAGCATCTTTTCTTGTGCTTATTGGTCATTCATATATCTTTTGAGAAGTGTCTGTTCAGATCTTTTGCCCTTTGATTATTGGGTTACTTGTCTTTATTGTGTTGTAAAATTTATATAAATGTATATTCTGGATACAAGTAATTTGTCTGATATATGTGGGCTGTGAATGTTTTCTCCCAGTCTGTGGCTTACCTTTTTGTTTTATTAAAAGGGTCTTTTGAAGGGTCTTTTGAAGGACTGTGAGCTCTAGTACCATATTGAATAGAAGAGGTGAAAGCGGGCATCTTTACCTTATTCCTGATCTCCGGGGATGCACTTTAATCTTTTACCATTAGGTATAATGTTAGCTATAGGTTTTTTGTTGATACCATTTATCATGTTGAGAAAGTTCCTTACTATTCTTAGCCTGCTGAGGTTTTTGTTGTTGTTGTTGTTGTTTTGTCATCAAAGGGTGTTGAATTTTCAAAAAATTCTTCTGCATCTATTAAAAATGATCATATGGATTTTGTCCTTTATTCTTGTCACATGGTGAATTACATTAATTTTGAATGTTAAACTAACCTTATATTTCTGGGATTAATCCTACCTTTTAATATATTATTAGAATCAGTTTGCTAGCATTTTGTTAATGAAATTTGTTTATATATTCATGAAGGATATTTGTCTGTAGTTTTCTTTTTTTCCAAGTTGTTTTATTCCAGTCTCATAAAATAAATTGAGCAGTGGTCACTCATTATCTATTTGCTGAAATAGTTTGTGTAAGATTAGCGTTAGTTCTTCCTTGACTGTTTCATTACCAGTATAATCAAGTAGATTAAAGTTTTCTTTGGGGGGGATGTTTTCAATAAATTAAAATTTCTTAATAGATATAGGCCTGTTTATAATTTTATTTATTTACTTATTTTTTAACATCTTTATAGGAGTATAATTGCTTTACAGTGGTGTGTTAGTTTCTGCTTTATAAAAAAGTGATTCAGCTATACGTATACATATATCCCCATATCTCCTCCCTCTTGCATCTCCCTCCCACCCTCCCTATCCCACCCCTCTAGGTGGTCACAAAACACTGAGCTGATCTCCCTGTGCTATGTGGCTGCTTCCCACTAGCTATCTATTTTACATTTGGTAGTGTATATATGTCCATGCCACTCTCTCACTTCGTCCCAGCTTACACTTCCCTCTCCCCGTGTCCTTTTTTTTTTACATTCCATATATATGTGTTAACATACGGTATTTGTTTTTATCCTTCTGACTTACTTCATTCTGTATGACAGACTCTGGGTCCATCCACCTCACTACAAATAACTCAATTTCATATCTTTTTATAGCTGAGTAATATTCCATTGTATATATGTGCCACATCTTCTTTATCCATTCATCTGTCGATGGACACTTAGGTTGCTTCCATGTCCTGGCTATTGTAAATAGAGCTGCAATGAACATTGTGGTACATGACTCTTTGAATTATGGTTTTCTCAGGTTATATGCCCAGTAGTGTGATTCATGGGTCGTATGGTAGTTCTATTTTTAGTTTTTTAAGGGACGTCTGTACTGTTCTCCACAGTGGCTGTATCAGTTTACATTCCCACCAACAGTGCAAGAGGGTTCCCTTTTCTCCACACCCTCTCTAGCATTTATTGTTTGTAGTTTCTTTGATGATGGCCATTCTGACTGGTGTGAGGTGATACCTCATTGTACTTTTGATTTGCATTTCTCTAATTATTAGTGATGTTGAGCGTCCTTTCATGTGTTTGTTGGCAATCTGTATATCATCTTTGGAGAAATGTCTATTTAGGTCTTCTGCCTACTTTTGGATTGGGTTGTTTGTATTTTTGGTATTGAGCTGCATGAGCTGTTTATATATTTTAGAGATTAATCCTCTGTCAGTTGCTTCATTTGCAAATATTTTCTCCCGTTCTGAGGGTTGTCTTTTCATCTTGTTTCTGGTTTCCTTTGCTGTGCAAAAGCTTTTAAGTTTCATTAGGTCCCATTTATTTTTGTTTTTATTTCCCTTTCTCTAGGAGGTGGGTCAAAAAGGATCTTGCTGTGATTTATGTCATAGAGTGTTCTGCCTATGTTTTCCTCTAAGAGTTTGATAGTGTCTGGCCTTACATTTAGGTCTCAAATCCATTTTGAGTTTATTTTTGTGTATGGTGTTAGGGAGTGTTCTAATTTCAGTCTTTTACATGTACCTGTCCAGTTTTCCCAGCATCACTTATTGAAGAGGCTGTCTTTTCTCCATTGTATATTCTTGCCTCTTTTATCAAAAATAAGGTGACCATATGTGCGTGGGTTTATCTCTGGGATTTCTGTCCTGTTCCATTGTTCTGTATTTTCTGTTTTTGTTCCAGTACCATACTGTCTTGATTACTGTGGCTTTGTAGTATAGTCTGTAGTCTAGGAGCCTGATTCCTCCAGCTCCGTTTTTCTTTCTCAAGATTGCTTTGGCTATTCAGGATCTTTTGTGTTTCCATACAAATTGTGAAATTTTTTGTTTTAGTTCTTTGAAAGATGCCATTGGTAGTTTGATGGGGATTACATTGAATCTGTAGATTGCTTTGGGTAGTATAGCCATTTCACAATGTTGATTCTTCCAATCCAGGAACATGGTATATCTCTCCATCTGTTTGTATCATCTTTAATGTCTTTCATCACCGTCTTACAGTTTTCTGTTTACAGGTCTTTTGTCTCCTTAGGTAGGTTTATTCCTAGGTATTTTGTTCTTTTTGTTGCAGTGGTAAATGGGAGTGTTTCCTTAATTTCTCTTTCAGATTTTTCATCATTAGTGTATAGGAATGCAAGAGAGTGCTGTACATTAATTTTGTATCCTGCTGCTCTACCAAATTCATTGATTAGCTCTTGTAGTTTTCTGGTAGCATCTTTACGATTCTCTATGTATAGTGTCATGTCATCTGCAAATAGTGACAGCTTTACTTCTTCTTTTCTGATTTCGATTCCTGTTATTTCTTTTTCTTCTCTGATTGCTGTGGCTAAAACTTCCAAAATTATGTTGAATAATAGTGGTGAGAGTGCACAGCCTGGTCTTGTTCCTGATCTTAGAGGAAATGGTTTCAGTTTTTCACCATTGAGAATGATGTTGGCTGTGGGTCTGTCATACATGGTCTTTATTATGTTGAGGTAAGTTCCCTCTGTGCCTACTTTCTGGAGAGTTTTAATCATAAATGGTGTTGAATTTTGTTGAAACCTTTTTCTGCATCTACTGAGATGATCATGTTGTTATTTTTCAATTTGTTAATATGGTTTTTCACACTGTTTGATATGCGTATATTGAAGAATTCTTGCATTCCTGGGATAAACCCAACTTGGTCATGGTGTATGATCCCTTTCCCTTTAATGTGCTGTTGGATTCTGTTTGCTAGTATGTTGTTGAGGATTTTTACATCTATATTCATCAGTGCTATTGGCCTGTAGTTTTCTTTCTTTGTGACATCTTTTTCTGGTTTTGGTATCAGGGTGATGGTGACCTTGTAGAATGAGTTTGGGAGTGTTCCTCCCTCTGCTATATTTTGGAAGAGTTTGAGAAGGATAGTTGTTAGCTCTTCTCTACATGTTTGGTAGAATTCACCTGTGAAGCCATCTGGTCCTGGGCTTTTGTTTGTTTGAAGATTTTTAATCACAGTTTCAATTTCAGTGCTTGTGATTGGTCTGTTTTTATTTTCTATTTGTTCCTGGTTCAGTCTCGGAAGGTTGTGCTTTAGTAAGTATATGTCCATTTCTTTGTGGTTGTCCATTTTATTGGCATATAGTTGCTTGTAGTAATCTCTCATGATCCTTTGTATTTCTTCAGTGTCAGCTGTTACTTCTTTTTCATTTCTAATTTTATTGATTTGAGTCTTTCCCTTTTTTTCTTGATGAGTCTGGCTAATGGTTTATCAATTTTGTTTATCTTCAGAGAACCAGCTTTTAGTTTTATTGATCTTTGCTACCGTTCCCTTCATTTCTTTTTCATTTATTTCTGATCTGATCTTTATGATTTCTTTCCTTCTGCTAACTTTGGAGGGTTTTTGTTCTTCTTTCTCTAATTGCTTTAGGTGTAAGGTTAGGTTGTTTATTGAGTTGTTTCTTGTTTCTTGAGGTAGGATGGTATTGCTGTAAATTTCCCTCTTAGAACTGTTTTTGCTGCATCCCATAGGTTTTGGGTCATTGTGTTTTCATTGTCTCTAGGTATTTTTGATTTCCTCTTTGATTTCTCCAGTGATCTCTTGGTTATTTAGTAGTGTATTGTGTAGCCTCCATGTGTTTGTATTTTTTACATATTTTTTCCTGTAATTGATATCTAGTCTCATAGTGTTGTGGTCGGAAAAGATACTTGATACGATTTCAGTTCTCTTAAATTTACCAAGGCTTGATTTGTTACCCGAGATATGATCTATCCTGGAGAATGTTCCATGAGCACTTGAGAAGAAAGGGTATTCTGTT